AAAAGAGTCATCTTAGGAATAAAGTTCTGGATGGTGCCTTAAAAGTCACAAGCATATGACCATGTCCTTGAGCAAATGTATATGGACATAAAATGGGTAGAGTTTATAGTTATAATCAAACTCACTGCGAAGCTAACCTGATGCATAATAGCAGCCATATTCATACATTGCTTTATAGTTTACATAACACTTTCCCACATTCTTTTATTTGCCACATAATTTAATGATAGAAATGTGCTACATGCTAATTAAGCTTAATTAGTAAGTTCTTGTGAATGGCTATAATTAGTGGGACTGGTTTTTTGCTAAAGCAGATTTTCAGTTCTCTTTTTACTTTATTAGTTACCTACCATTTATAACCAGGATCAGTTTAAATCATATTCCCTTTTTGTGTCATACATGTTGATCTCATGTATATTAAGAAACAAACTCCTGAGACCTTACTCCTAGGAAGCTGAACTTGCCTCACTCCAGAGCTCTTATTACCAACTCGCAACCCCTCCTAGTCCCCTCCTATTCCCACGTCTCTACCACTAGCACTCATCTACTCATACCTGAGGGGGACTTGTGTATAACATCTAACAATCATTCACCAACAAAGATTTATTGAGCACTGTGTGACAGAGATTAAACAAGGCACTGGAAATACGGTAGTTGGCAAAGAAGCTGTGGTCCCTGCCCTCATCAAGCTCACAGACTAGGGGGGGCATGCAAAGCCTAGATTGAAGTGGAGGAGGTGGGCAAGAAGCTGGCATACCTTATTTCACTCTCTAAGCTACAGCCTAGCCTTTATTATAATAATAATGCCTCTTCCATGTAACAACCCTCCAGGAGCTTAAAGTCATCATCACCACCACCATTCATTCACTCACCTAGAGTTAAAAAGCTTGGTTCTTCAGTTTTTATAACAATAATTATCAAAAAGTCAATTCATCAAGAAAATACAACAATCCTAAAACATATGTACCTAATAACAGAGCTTACAAACATGAAGTATGGCTGGGTGCGGTGGCTCACGCCTGTAATCCTAGCATTCTGGGAGGCCGAGGCGGGCGGATCGTTTGAGCTCAGGAGTTCAAGACCAGCCTGAGCAAGAGCGAGACCCCCTCTCTACTAAAAATACAAAGAAATTAGTTGGACAACTAAAAATATATAGAAAAAATTAGCTGGGCATGGTGGCGCATGCCTGTAGTGCCACCTACTCAGGAGGCTGAGGCAGAAGGATCACTTGAGCCCAGGAGTTTGAGGTTGTTGTGAGCTAAGCTGACACCACTGCATTCTAGCCAGGGCAAAAAGTCTCAAAAAAACACAAACAAACAAACAAAAAAACATGAAGTATGTTCGTGGGAGATTTTAATAATAACTATCATTTACTGAGTACCCACACTGTACTCGGTGGTAGAGATACACAGATAAATAAGTCTCAGTCAATCCTGTCAATAAGAGCATTATACAAGTAAACAAGTACAACAATGTCGTATATACTGTGACAGATCTGTTCAGGAAAAGGCAGGTGGGCACCAAGGGAACAGTCATCTTTATGAGAGAGGGGCCTGCCTCATAGGAGATGACACAAACCGCACCTTGACAGTTGAGTAATTCCTACTCTTGGCTGGAATTATCCATTTGTGGTATTTGTTAAAATGCCATTTTAGAGACTTCAATCACACCAACTGTTCTTTGAAATACCCATTGTCAGTAACGACAAATACATTCCTACAGGAAATGTTAATTTTCCCTCTTAGCATTATTTACAAAGCCTCTTTTAGAATCAGAATACTAGAAACTGATGAAGTAGAAGAGTGGAATACTGTGATTTGCTGTACCTTCTAATGGCTACAATAGCAAATGTTTGGAAGGAAGAAGCCTCAACTAGTGTTTCCTAAGCACTGAAATAGAAGAGATGAGGCATACTGGGAGATGAGGCCATACAATAAAGAAGGCCACAGAAGATGTGGGGAGCAGTAAAGGATTTGCCCCACTGACTCAGTGCAAGTTGTGTGAAAGCATGGTACTCACACTCACACTCCAATGTTTGTTTCTTGGTGTTAGGCCCTGTGCTGGATGCTGAGGTAAAGATGACCTGTGGAGCAGAATGAGGCAAGCACACAAAGTGATCTAAGGCAGAAGGTTCTGGGAACCTTGGAAAAGGATTATATGATGTGTCCTGGAAGTTCTGAGGAGGACAGATAGCTGAGCAGATGAAATTAGCCTTCCTAGAGGAGGCAGCATATCTAAGAATAAATAAATACACCAATGCAGTCCTCCTAATCTGAAGAGGGACCTTTTCCATGAGAGCAATAGAGAGCAAAAGGCAGTGAACCTCTAGCTGCCTCCTTCAAGAAGAAACAAATGAGAGAGACCAGAAACAAGACAGTAAAACTCAGTCAGTGGAGGTTAAAACTAATATTTTTTCAGTTTGTTAAAGAAACCCTTCAAGAAATAATTATAAAACTAAAGCTCTTATAATATTCCCCAAAGTAGAAATAAATAATGAGAAAGCGTAGAAAAGTTTTTGTAAGACTTCCATCCTTAGAAGTCAACAAGGAAGATAAAACAATATTATACACAAAAAGTATTGATGGACACAATTCAGAAAACAGGGATGTTGAGTCGAAGTTCATAGTTACCAGTGCCATCCCCGTTGCCCAGATGAGGAGACTGAAGTCCCAAGAGGGGACTCCTAATGCAGTGCTCTTTTCACCTAGAAGAACACAGAGCACTATAATCCAATGAGTGCACACCCTCTTCAGCCCTTTCTCGGCAGACTTGATGTAGCAAAGGAACTTGAGAAAACTCTGGTTCACTACCATCTTTCATTGAAGGATTGTTCCGTCTTCTGGAACACTGGCACGAAGTGATCAGTTCTCCTTCCTGCCCCTCGTTGGCTGAGCTACCTCTTTTCTTTAGTTCTCTTCAGGTTTTATTATTAAGACTTTATTCACATACTATAAAATTCACCTATTTAAAATGTACAATTCATGGTTTTTAGTATATTCACAAGGTTGTACAACCATCACCACCATCTAATTCCAGAACATTTTCATCTCCCCCTAGAGAAACTTTGTATCCATTAGCAGACACTTTCAATTCCCCCTTCCCCCAATTCCCTGGTAACTACCAATCTGCTCTGTCCCTATATAGATCTCCTTATTCAAGACATTTCACATAAATGTAATCATACAATTTGTGGCCTTTTGTGTCTGGCTCCTTAACAATGTTTTTATGGTTCATCTGTGTTGTAGCATGTGTCAGTATTTCATTCCTTTTTGTGGTTGAATAATATTCTATTGTATGGATATACCACATTTTGTTTATTCATTTATCAGTTGATGAACTTTGGGTTATTTCTACCTTTTGGCTATTGTAAATAGTGCTGCTATGAACATTTCACATACAAGGTTTTTGTTGTTATTTTTTTGTTTGTTTGTTTGTTTGTTTTTTGGTTTTTTTGAGATAAGGTTTTGCTCTGTTGCCCAGGCTAGTGTCCAGTAGCCTCATCATAGTTCACTGCAGCTCACACTCCAGGGCTGAAGGGATCCTCCTGCCTCAGCCTCGTGAGTAGCTAGGACTACAGGCATGCACAACCATGCTGGGCTAATTTTTCTTATTTTTTTGTGGAGACAGAGTGTTGCTCTTGCTCAGGCTAGTCTTGAACTCCTGGTCTCAAGCAATCCTCCTGCCTCAGCCTCCCAAAGTGTTAGGATTACAGGAGTGAGCCACCGTACAAGTTTCAGTGGCCATATGTTTTCATTTCTCTTGAGTATATACCTAGAAGTTGGAATGCTGGGTCATATGATAACTCTATGTTTAACTTTTTGAGGAACTACGTGTTTTCCAAAGTGGCTACACCATTTTACATTGCCACCAACAATGTAAGAGGGATTCAATTTTGTCACATCATTGCCAACACTTATTTTTTTAATTATAGCCATCCTAGTGGATGTCAAATGATATCTCATTGTGGTCCAGATTTACATTTCCCTGGTGACTAATAATGCTCAGCATTTTTTCATGTGCTTATTGGCCATTTGTATATCTTCTTTGGAAAAATGTCTATTCAGACTGCCCATTTTTAATTGGATTGTCTTTTTATTATTGCATTATAAGAGTTATTTATGTATTCTGGTTACTAGACCTTTATCAGATTTGCAAATATTTCCTCCCATTCTGTGGATTTAAATTTCTTGAAGTGTCCTCTGAAGCACTGCTGAGCTACTTTTAACAAATATTTTAAAATCTTAAAGCAAACTAAATTAGAAGTATGTAATTGGTGTTTAAATTATACTTTTAAACTTAATAAGCATTACAATTTAATAAGCAAACCACTGTATTCAGACCACGTTTTGAGGTTTCCAAACTCAGAGTCTTGAGTTCATTAAGTGACCCATCACAGTGATAGCTATCGCTTTTATAGCATTATGTGCCAGGGGCTGTTTGGGCACTCTACATGTATTGACTCATCTAATTCTCAAAACAATGCTATGAGGTAGAGACTGTTATCATACTCATTGTACAGATAAGAAAACGGCGGCAGAGGGAGGTCAAGTAATGTGCCTGAAGCCAAAGAGTAGGGTTGCAAATATGGGCCCCAGATAACGTTGCTCTCAACCATTGGCTAGACTGACAAGGTGGAATTAAACGGTTTCAAAGAATGCCTGCCCCCTCGCTTTGGGGAGAGAATAGTTTTCTGATGGCGTCTGCACTGTGGACATTTTTCCTGTCCTTACCAACCCAGAAATTAGTAGTGCCACCAGTTCAGGCGTCTTCATTGCACACCTGCCCTCCAGTCTGGAGCCCATTCGGCTTCAGACCCTCTCCTGCCTATGGGTTGGACGGAGACTTTGACGTTCTTTGAAGTAAGTGCGAAATCGCCTTTGTCTCCCAGGCGGAATGGTCCTAAATTTCTGGTGGCCAGTGAGTGCGGAGGAGCCGGGAGCCTGCCCAGTGAGGCTCCAAGCGGAGCGGTGGGCGGAGCCGCGGGGGGAGCGAACCGGCGCCCGCGGTACCTACCGAGGGCTGCCCGAGCGGAGCCATGAGCTGGACCTGCCCGCGTTGCCAGCAACCGGTTTTCTTTGGTAAGGCCTGGGCTGAGGAGCGGAAGAAGAAGGGGCGAGTGTGAGCCGCTGGGTTCCCTGAGGACCCGAGTTTCAGCCGCCGTGTGGTCCCAGACGCACTTTTCCACCTGTAACGGCGCGCGGCGCGTGGTCTTCTTACCCTCCGCCGACGGCTCCGCCGGGAGTTTGGCACCGGCGGGCTAGAGCTGGCCTCCCAAAGACTCTTCCGTGTCCGGGGAGCAGGGCAGGCCGGGCTGGTTCCCCCAGAGGGCCGAGGGGGAAAAGGAGGGCGCCCCATTCTTAGCTCAACTCCTTGCAGCTCGGGTTCATTTTTTCCCTCACAGCTGAGAAGGTGAGCTCCCTGGGCAAGAACTGGCACCGCTTCTGCCTGAAATGTGAGCGCTGCCACAGCGTCCTGTCCCCCGGCGGACATGCAGAGGTGAGGCCCAGCCAGGGTGCACAGCCCTGAATTTGTCGCTGCCTCCCAGGCACCAGCTCCCAATTTCAGCCCTGAAGGCCAGTGAAAGGCAACCTCAGCAGCCAACCCCAAGGCCACCCTTCGGTGGGCCCCACGCCAGCCAGGATTTTGGGAGCCTGTGTTGTGACAGTGGACCCCATGGCTTTGAGGACTAGGAGGGGAGGGAAGCAGCATTACCTCCTGGCTGCTCTTGCCCTTCCTCCCTGACCACAGTGGCAATTCTGGCATCCCAGCCCACCCCCAACCCCTCAGACCAGGCCAGTGGACAGACGAGCCTGGCAGCCTGTCTTGGGGGAAGGCCTGTGTGGCAGGGTTCCCTTGGCCCTGAGTGACCCCATTCCCTCTGCCTGTGCCCAGCACAACGGGAGGCCATATTGCCACAAGCCATGCTACGGGGCTCTCTTCGGACCCAGGGGTAAGTACCAGACTAGAAGGGACTGGGGCAGCAGAACTCTCTGTGACTGGGAGCTGGAGGCTCAAGCCAGACCTCCCCTCTTCTCTTTGCAGGGGTGAACATTGGTGGTGTGGGTGCCTACCTGTACAACCCCCCCACTCCTACCCCTGCCAGCACCATGCCCCTCAGCCCCAGCAGCTTCAGCCCTCCCAGGCCAAGGACTGGCCTCCCTCAAGGCAAGAAAAGTAAGTGAGGCTGGGCCTCAGGTTCTCCTCCTCCTTTTCCTCTTCCTGACCCTTCCCCAGGCTGGAGCAGGGAGTAGGGCCAAGTGATTATACTTGTTCTTGGCAAAGTCTTCTCTATTCATGCCCCCCGCCTTTTTAATATTCTCTCATGTCAGCTGCTGAGTTAAGAGGTAAATTGGGCAGATGGCACTGTCACCTTCGTTTTACAGGTGAGGAAACAGATCCAGAGAGGGCAAGTGACCTTGTACATTCACACAGTTAGTCAGAGACAAAGCTGGCCTGGAACTCAGGCCTCTCCCAGGCCAGGGCCATAGAAGGAATGACTTATGGGTGAGGGGTCATTCCGATGGGGCTAGCCCCTCACTTTCTTCAACTGCTCTCCGTTGGTCCTTGTTCCTTCCTCCTACCCCCTGGAGTGGGCAATGACACTGTGCTCCCCAACACCTGACACTCCTGCCCTGGCTAGCTCCTATATCAGCTCAGGTTTCCTGAGGATTGAGTTGCCGACAGGGTTGGGCTGGTGGGCACCTGAACCCCCAGGAGGATGAGAAGGGAGCAGGTAGTCCCTAATGCAGATGGGGGATGGGGCAGGAGGTGGGGTCAAGGGGCTCAGCTCTGAGCCGAAGGCAGGCAGACTCATGGCTGCCTAGATGGGGGGCTCTGGGATGAAAGAAGACAGAGCCATGGGCTGGCAGGTGCTGGTGAGCCCTGCTTAGGCCCTGGCCCCCACCTCAGCCCTAGCCAGGGCCTTTTCCCCTTTAAAGGCCCTCCCCACATGAAGACATTCACTGGGGAGACCTCACTGTGCCCTGGCTGTGGGGAGCCTGTCTATTTTGGTAAGTGACAATGGAAAGCTTGGGGGGGAATATGGTGGGCAGCAAAGGGCAGGGAGGTGATCCAAGGCAGGTGGGTCTCCCTGCCTTACCCCTAGAATGGAAGAACTACCACTTCTCTCCACCACCAGCTGAGAAGGTAATGTCTTTGGGCAGAAATTGGCACCGACCGTGTCTAAGGTGCCAGCGTTGCCGCAAGACCCTGACTGCTGGGAGTCATGCTGAGGTGCGCAGGGCAGGGATGGGTATATGTTGGGAGGAGGGAGGCTGGAGATGGGAAGAGAGCCAGGCTGAGACGGCTCTCTTTCTCTCTGTGTCCCAGCATGACGGAGTCCCCTACTGCCACATCCCCTGCTACGGCTACCTGTTTGGCCCCAAAGGTGGGCGGCCCCACCCCAGACACCGGGCCTAAAGTATGGCATGTACATGGTCTGTGGGATGTGTGGACAACTTCCCCTGTGGTCAAACATACCCCAGGCCCCTTCCATTTCCCTCCAGCTCTCAACCCAACACCCACCAGACCCAAGGCCCTTGGTGATTGGGCTCTCTCCCTCAGGTGTGAACATTGGTGATGTGGGCTGCTACATCTATGATCCAGTGGAGATAAAATCCAAATGAGATGCTCACAGGAGAGTTCACCCTAACTCAGGCATCCCATCATCCCCTCCGTGGTCCAGTGGGAGCTGCAAAATTCTCCAGTCTCATGAGGATGGGGGAAGATGAGATCCTGGGGACCTGGGCCTAGGCCCTATGGTAGGCCAGAAAGTCTAGGCTTTCTCTGCCAATATTTCCCTTTCCCATTCCTATCTGGTTAGGGGGCATAGGCTACCCCATTTTGAATGGTGTCCTCCTGGCCTTCCCAACCCCTTTCCCCAGCAAATTCTGGAGCTTCAATGTACTCATAAAACTTGTGTTTATTAAGTCTCAGCCTTTCTGGCTTCTCCAATAAAATGTTGGCTCCCATGCCTTCAACTCTCCTTTGGGCATGAGGCCTAGACAGTGGGTTGGAGGATGAGGAGTGCAGGGGAGGAGGGATACATTACTTTGCAGAGTGCCTTGGAGGTAGCTGGGCCAGCCATGGGAACAAAGAGCTCTGTTCTCCTGGTCCCCTGGGCCTGGCATTGGAAGCCCCTAGCACCACAGAGTAGGCAGCATGCCCACCAGCCCTGTTGGTACTAGAAGTCATCAGAGGACAGTCTTGTCTTTAGCACCATCTCTAGAAGAAATACCTTATTCAGCATCTTTAGAGCATGACAACAGATCTTGTGATAAGGTCTGCTAAGAGGCTTCATTATCCCTCTAGGAGATAAACAGACTGAGGCTCAGAGAGGGAAAGCCACATGCTCTAGGTCACACAGCAAATCAGTGGTGAAGCCAGGATCAGAACCTAGGGCAAACTCAGCGGCTTCCCATCCACAGCTCCTAACTGCTGCACTAACCCAAGGGGCACCTTTATTTACCGAATCCTCCCCAGCCATGAGAGGGGTGCCCAAAATCTCTAGCAGCCCCCTGCATTCTGGGAAGTCATCTGTTCCTGGAAGCCAAATAGTCAAGGTTAGATGAGCAAATGGAGGGAGCACCAGTGGCAACTCCAGCCCAAACAGAGGGTTCAATGCCCTTACGCCTGGTCACAGGGGCTGCCCTTCTGCTGTCCCAGCCCCTGCTGCAGAGCTTCTGTGGAGGGCCTGCCCCCAGTCCCACTCAGTTCTGGACCTGCTTCATCGGCATCTCTTCCTCCTGAAGACTGGACGGGGCACTGGGGAGGAAAGAGTCATGAGCAAGGGTGGGGTTTAATCCCCGAGCCTGCCACCCCAGCCTGCCCCATCAGGCTTGGCCCAAGGCTCTCCCCAGCTCCTGGTATACAAACACAGGTGACCATACAACCTTGTGCACATCCCTGGTATGTAGGCATACTTGAGTGTGCACACATATACCTCTTCCTGAACAACCTTAAGTATTTGTGTATACACGTATGGACTCATGTATACTCTTATGCACAGTTTACATACCCTAGGTCATGCACCCTGAAACACTCACCTGGGCACACTCACATACATGCACCAAGTACACACGTGCAGATATGTCTTCCTCTGAATCCTAAGATGTCAGGTATCTGAGCACCCGCATCCACATACATGTGCTCACATGTACATGGACACAATCGTGTGCACACACCTCTTTCTCTCCACATCCTCGATGGTCTCTGGCAGTTGTGCCTGCCTCGTCTCTGGCAGCAGGAGGGCAGTGCAGGCAGCCAGGAGGGCAATCCCCCCGTAAGCAAGCCTGGGCAGTGGCAGCCACACTCCATCCAGCAAGGCTGCCAGTGGGGCCAGAGAGCCCCCCAGCCGGCCCACCAGTGCAGTCAGCCCCATACCCGTCTGTCTGTTCAGAGAGAGAGGATTAAGGAGGCAAGTGGTGCTCACATCTACTTGGGGTCATGCCCCAGAGGTCTCCCCTCCCAGCTGGCAGACCCTGGTACCTACCCCCTTTCTCCCCAGACAGCTAGGAAAGCTAGGCTTTCACTTAAGGGTCTTCCCACCCATCCCTAGTCCAGGAGCCCCCAAGTCAGCACCCACCAGAGGATAGGGTCCCCATTCTGACAAAGTACCAATCAAGTACCACTGAAAGAGAAGAGTCAGCAGAAAGGGCAAGGGGAAAGAGTAGTATGGAAGGGAAAAGCTTGTACAGGTCCTATCATGTTGTTAGAGGCGGCTTAAGTCTTTCTAAACATAACCAGGTGCCTAGAAGTCTCCTCGCCCGCCTGCCAGTAGCTAGCTGAAAGCGCCCCCTGATGTCCAGAGACAACCCCCAAGGGCAACTCTGTCTCCCAGCGGTGAATGGCATGGGGGTAGGCAGGGTGGGGCTTATGAGGACTGGTTTCCTCTAAAGGAGGCCCAGAGAGGTTGTCTGACTTGGCTCAGGGTCACATAGTACATAAGATTAAAAAGCTTGGCCTTCTTCAAGACTTGGGACAAACACGCTCCTGATTAGCTCTGTATTTGGGTGTGGTGTAAAGAACGAGTGAGAGGGGCCGGGGTGCGGTGTGTATGTAGAAGTGTTGGTTAAGACACGTGACTAGCAAGCCCCATGTCCCAGGTCGGTTGCCTGGGACCCAGTCTCCCCTCACCTGAGTACGGTAGGGTACAACTCTGAAGTGAACAGGTAGGCAGTGGTGAAGGCGGCTTCAGAAAAACCTTTCCCCATCACCGCCAGGGCGGTGCTCCAGGACTTCCGCTCTGGAAGGAAAAGGGTTCGGGCAGTGAGAGGGTCTTGTGGGAGAGCCAAGGGTTTCTCCGACAGGAGGCGGAGTCTCCGAGTGGCCGAACTTGAGTGGCCCTCCCGGGAAAGGCCCTCCGGGAAGTGGGCGGGGCCTATGGGGCCGGGCTCACCCGAGGACACCAGCAGCCCAAAGCCCAAGGCCAGGGCCGTGCCCAGCAGCGTTCCGGTCTGCGTGAGGCGGCGGCCGGCGTGGCGCACGGACAGGTAGACGAAGAGCTTGGCGGGCAGTTCCACGGCCCCGAAGAGCAGCTGCGTCTGATACACGTTCAGCCCCAGCCCTGACACGTCTAGACTCAGGCCGTAATAGGAGAAGTTCACTCCAAACCTGAAATGAGTCGCAGCGCCACTCAGGGGACCCTTCTTTCCATCCCTCTTTGTCCTCTCCTGTCGGGAAGACTTTACCTTTTAGAGGGACGACCTCTCCCCCTTCAGAGCCCACTGCCTAGGACCTTCCCTGACACCAGTAATCCCTCCGGAGTGGGCATGTGCCAGCGGTCAAAGCGCCTTTACCCTAATCCTTACAGCAGCTTGTTTTACAGAAGGGACACTGAGGCTCAGAGTGGCTAAGTTACCTGTTCGAGGTCACACAGTAAGGAAGTGGCAGAGCCTGAATTCCAACCCGTGTTTCTCTGCTGCCTGCTCCATTGTCTGACCTCCCCCAGCCAGATCGCCTCCTGCCCTCCACAGTTACACTTCCCTCGTCCCTCACCCTTCTCACACTCAGCACCATCCTGAGGCCCGCCCCTCCCCCACCCCACCAAACCCAAGCCAGCCCCTCCTTACCACACCGCCATGCAGCACAGTGAGATGTGTCGGAGCCTTGGCGTGCGGAACAGGTCTAGGTACGAAGGTCGTCGTACCGCTCGTTCCCCAGCAGCCACTTTGCTCAGGGCCTAGTTGGGGAGGAAGCGAGATTGTGACATCAGAGTTGGCTCTGTGGTCTAAGCAGGGCATATTGCTCTCTCTCTCTGAGTCTATTCCTCCTCTCTGCAGTGGCGGGGGTGAAGATGCACATGGGAGCTGAGAAGGATGGCACCTGAGTGATGGAGGTGGCCCACCAGAGCCAGATAGGACATCCTAAACAGTTTGGAACTCTCCACATAGGGCTGGGGGCTTTTCCTGACATATGTGTGTCACACACATGCAGGCTCACACACACATTCACCCTCACCTGCAGGCTCAGGCCGTCCTCACCCACAGGCCGCCCATTGAGCCTGGCACAACGCAGCAGGTACTTGTGGGCCTCCTCCACACGGCCCTGGGTGAGAAGCCAACGTGCAGACTCAGGCACCCACCTAGGGGATAGGCAGGAGGCCCTTCAGCCAGAAAGGCAGCACCCTAAGCCACCTCTCTCTCCTGGGCACACCACAGACACAACCTCCAGGCTCTGCTCATGCAGTCCCCTTAGCCTGGAACATGATCTTCTCTACAGCCTCTCTACACCTGATGAACTCCTATTCATCTTTTAAGGCCCAATTTAAAAGCTACTCCTTCCCACACTTTCTTGCCCAGGCCTGGGTCCCCCATAGCCTGGGAGTGCCTTACTCAAGTGAGTTGGCCTCATCCTCAAGATTTTAGCTCCCAGCACTAGCCACGCACTCCTCCCAACAGTGTCAGGAGGGCCCAGGATAAAAGAGACCTACAGACCTACAGACATGCAGAAGGCTCATCTAAAGCCAGTTCACCTTTGGGAGGCAATGAAATGCCCATCCTGCCTGGTCTGTCACCCTCCACATTGGCCCTACCCGCATCCCCACGCCTGCAAGGGGCCAGCCTCAATATGTGCTTGGCTCTGTCTTTGTCTTTCACTGTGTCTGTCTCCATCGGTCCCTCTGAAGCTACCTTTCAGTCCTGATCTCTGTCACTCTCTGTCTCAATAGCTCTTTCTCTAGCTCTCCGTCTCTGTCTCTGTCTTGTTCTGTTTCTCATTGTCCCTTGCCATCTTTTTTATATTGGTCTCTGTCTCTCTCTGTGTGTATCCTTCTGTCTCTTGGTCACTGATTCTGTTTCCCTTTCCCTTCATCTCTCGATCTCTCTGTTTTCGAATCTCAGTCTCTCATTAATTCTGTCTTTGGCTTCCTATATCTCCCCCTCCCCAGCTGCCTGCATGCAGTCCTCACCAGAGGCTGAGGATGCCTGGGGCACAAGGCAGGGTGACAGCCAGCAGAAGCCATCGCCAGTCCCGTATCAGATACCCAACCAGTGCCAGCAACATCACACCCCCTGTCCAGAAGGTGCTACTCAGGACGCCTGCCACGGTCCGGTGCTCCACATCCAGCCACTCCAGCTCTGGGCCAGGGCGGGAAACAGGAAGACAGTGAGGGCCAATTTGGCTCAGTCTCACCCTAACGACTGCCTTCCTCTAGCCCTCTAGGCCCTGCCCGTCCCTTGCCTGCCTCACCCAGTGGCATCACGATGATGGTGAAGCCAGCCAGGGCTGAACCAGTGAGGGTGCGGGTGATGGCAAACATTACATAGCTGACCGAGGCTGCAGACACCAGGCCCAGCACCAGAGCACTCACGTAGGCCACAAGCAGCAGACGGCGCCGCCCGAACCTGCAAAGGGATCAGGCAAGGTCAGCTTCCTGTGGAGGGAGGTTTCAAGACACAGGTAGACTAAGTCTGTACCCCAGCTAGTGG